CAAGCACGTGTTTCTCCTACATGTCAAGTGGGTGTCAGGCACTGGTGACGTGTGCCCTTGGTCCTATGAAAAGTTACAGACTCACTTGTCCTGTGAAGTGCATGTGTTTGCTTGGGACTGATTAGAGGACTGGGGGGCAGAGCACAGGGAGGAGTGTTGTGGGGCAGAATTATTGGGTGGTTTAGGATCTCTCACCAGCTGCACCTCTTCCAGGTGCAAAGGCTGAAAGAGCAGACCTGTGTGTTGCCAGGGCTCACCAGTGGCTTCACCTGGGCAGTGAGGCCTATTTAATGCAAGGGGGGGGGGAGGAGGGGAGGATGGGGATAAGAAGAGTGTTCTATTTATGCACTGCTGAAGAAGCAGCAGCAGATCGGCATTGTAAAAAGATCTTAATGAAGCTGTTTTTCTAGTAAGAGCTCTTTTTTTTTTTTAAAGAAATTAAGTAGATTAACAGCCAGGAAGAAGGTGGTGGAGAGGCAGAGGGAAGTTGGCCTGCTCACAGACAGCAAAGACACAGATTGATGGCAGGTTACTGCACAGAATGGGGTGTCAAGGAGCTATAGGAACATCTACCTTGCTGTTGCTGGCTGCGCACGTCACCTCAGGTAGGTGACGTGTAATCTGCATGTCAGTGTTAATGGGGTGCCTGGCAGAGGGGAAAGTTGACTGGATTCTCTAGGGAAATGAAAACCTTCAGAGTATTCCTAGGTAAGGAATATTATATTTTATATATAATATATATTATATATAAAATGCCTTCATTTCACTATGCATCTGAAATCACCCTGTAGAGCTGAAACTAGGTAAAGAGTCGGAGTCGAGAAGCACTCATGAGCCTTTCCAAAAAATCTAGTATTGCCTCCTACTTTCAGTTCTCAAGTCCCCTCAGAGTCTAAAAAAAGCCACATTCAAAGGAAGCAGGAGTTTTTCCTATGTTAAATACTAGTAAGTGGGAAGTCTTCTCTGGCTCACTGAACCTCACAGCGTAATGTGGTAGGAAACCTTGTAGCAATCCTCTGAGTAGTAGGAACTGAAAATAGCTTTCTCCTTTGCTGTGCTTGTTGTTTATTTCTCCCATGCCAGATACGTCTCTTGTTTGTCAGGGAAAACTGCCAGGAGAGTATGAGGAAACTCTGGATGATGGGCGTTTGGAATATGCTGCTGTGAAAGCGTTTGAACTTCTCTAGGGCCTTTCAGCAAAGGGTTGTGAAGCAGTTTACAAATATCAGTCAATAGGAGACTGTAAATAACAGAGAAGCTCGCTGGAGAAAAGGCTTTCATCATGAAAGGCCTGATCTATTTTCATAATCTCAGAGGTTAATGTGGTAAAGGCCAGCTCTGCTGTGGGCTGACTTTCCATCAGTAATTTTTAGCCTGTAACCACGAAGGGAGCATGGCCATGCTACTCATAAAAGCGTGCAAAGGTTAGGACAAAATGTCAGCCAGAGACATTGCTGGTTCTCCTGCAACGTATGATCTGAGAAACAGCAAAATGTGCCTCTTTGCAGCAGGTATGCAAAGAATTGGCTCTGCATGAGTGTGTGTGAGCGTGTGTTTGTGCACACAGGCCTAGCAGGCCCTGCCCTCGAACAAGGAGTGGGTGAAGGAATGATTTGTTACATTTGGGCAACTAAAGCAATCAATATGTTACCCTTTCCTCCCATCTCCTGTTATCTGATTGTACCAAGGATGACAGCTTCAATTTGCAACTAGACTTGTCTTAAATGAGGCACATCTGACTTCCAATGGATCTGCATCCAAAATAAATATTTGTATTTTATTTTAGGGTGAGGGCAGTGCTAGCTGTGAGATGTAGGCTTGCTTTGACCAATAAATATTTCTCTAGTGTTTGCAACTCAAGGTTTGCCATGTGACCAGTGCTTGAAAAAGGAAAAGTGACTGGGTAAAACTTGGCTGTAAACAAAAACTGTAACTTGCTTTTTTCCTTGCTGTTGTCCTGTTTCTACTGAAGTATAGCCCTACTTGATGCACAGGGCTCCCAGGCAGCAGCTGGGGAGGAGGTAGAACACTGTAGGATATGTGCTATCTGATGTGCTGTTGCTGAGCGGGATACAATACTCATCCATTTGCTCACTTTGCCAGTAGATCTCTTTTTGGTGTCAGGATACTTAACATCAATTCATCTGTTGCCTTCAAGATGCCTATATGAATAAATCTTTACAGGCTTCAAGGTTACATACATCAGGTCCATTATACTCCACAGCTAGAGAAAATCAAAGTATCAATCTGTCGGCGTATACACAGCAATCCGTGAAAAGTCTGCACCACAACACAGCAACTTTCATTTTTGATCTCCTGTCTAGATTGTTATCTGACAGTACCTTTTGGAGTTCAAACCACAGGGCCTTCTAGTGCAGCGACCTGAAGCCCAGAACCAGCTCTGAGCTGGCTGAAAAAGGTTGCCAGGGGTATAGGTAAGGGAGAGGAAAGGATCTGGAGAACAGAGGGGCCTGTGCACCTCATTTTGGCACAGGATGCAGAGCCACATGCTGCTTTCAATGCATTTTGTTATTACTTTTTGGTGAATGCACCTCTCATAAAGGGTTTTAAAGTTTTTTCTGAACCAAAATATTTTCTGTAGCAGCTGTAAAACACCTGCTTAAAAATTAAGGCACTTAAGTTGAACAACACTTTTAATTAAAAGTGATAGCAGCTCCCTCCCAGGGTTTCTTGTGGCAGCCTTTTACTGAACTGCAGCTGTGGGACATTTTGCTGTTTGTCAGCAGATCCCTGGTGGCCTGTACTTATTACCACTGCAGTGAATCAGTGACATCTGTTTTGATGCATTCTACAAATCCAGCAATAGCAGCAATGATGGGGTGATGCCCCTGGGCGATTTCACTAAAGGAAAACTGCAGTAACCACAAGGAGTGCTGCACCTTACTAAAGGATCAGTAAATGACACCCAGTGAGATGTTTTTCACAGAAGCACAGGGAACATCTTGCCCTGCATGAGCACAGAATAACACTACTCAGTGAGGTCTGTGATTGTTCTGGCTCTGTGACTGCAACTGACACCTTGTACTTTGTTCTTGCTCTATCTTTCAGTTGGGGGTGGATGGTGATAGGACACTGTAGTATCACAACCTGTCAGACTACTAATACATTGGAAAGGAGATGGTCCCTGTGTAGTGTGGTTTTTAAAATACGAGCTAAATCCTGTTTCATTTGTTCTTTTCTTTCTGAAAGGCTGCCTTTCCTGTGGTGCTTAACAGCAAGATGGGCCTCCTGGTTGTCAGTTTGCTTGTAATAGCAACTAGTTAGGATTAGTGGGGCAAAATGTCATTTCCAGCTCTGAGAAATACTTCCACTCTTTATGAATGAAGCACCATTACAAAAAACCATTCATTAACAAAGTCTTAAATACTGGCTTTAGGGAGAATATAACACACTTCATAATCAAGTTTGTTAGGGTATTTACACTTTCTTCCAATTATAACCTGTTATTTTGGTGACAATGTTTGTTATGCTGTACGTGACAGTCATCAGATGCTACTAAACTCTAACTTTTCATTTCCAACTGAAACCTGCAATAGGGTATTTTAAAGGCTTCCTCTTTTCTGTGTAGACTCCTGCTAAAAAAAAAAAAAAAAAAGTTTGTTCTTTCTGTCTCTCTTGGAAACTTTCTGGTGGACTTGGCAGCTGAGGTTGGGATCAAGAGTGCTGTCAGGGGAAGGTTCTGTGCACTGCCTGCTTCTGTAGTGCTATGGATCCTGGCTCATGCAAGGAAGTACACTTCAGTGTTCTGATGGATGGGACTCTGATTTATCTTCCACAGAAAAAATACTCTAGCTGAAGACAGGATGTGGACCTATTTATGTCTGAACATGGTTGAGGTACACATGAAGTTAAAAGGCCCAATTCAGTCTAACTTCAGTCACAAACTTTGAGGGCCAGGGAACCAGATGACAAAAGAGGTAGTGTCACTGTCATCCCTGATGCTGCAGCACCTCACACTGACCCTGTAAATGTTTAGCCCTGACTTTTTTTGGAAGCAAATGCAGGACACTAGTATCTATAGCTTCTCATAGTTTTAAGTTTCACAATTGTGAATTATTTTCCTAAAAGCACAGAAAAATGCAGTGCTCAGACTTACTTCAGTGACCAAGACAGAGCAAAGAATGATTAAGTCAGACACAGTCATTCTAGCCCATCCATTTAGATGCTGCTCTCTGAGAAAGGACTAAAGCTCTCTTGCTCTTGTCTTGTTATGAGAAGCAGCTGATTGGGAGATCCCTCAACTGGCAGCTTTTGGTATTGCTGTCTATAATAATTTCCAACTACTGAACCTAGGATTGTATTTTATCTTCAGGGTAAATTCTTGTTATCACCAATGCAGCTTCATTTCAATGAAAACTATACTGTCTAGCTTCACCCAGGCCCTGTAGGGCAGAACCATATTTGTTTTACTAGAATATACACTTGAGGTTATCTTGAAAATTTCTTATTCAGATACTTGCATTGCTATGTATGTTAACTCCCAAGTACCCACTATGTGAAAGAGCCAGCTCCTAAGTTCTGGTTTCATTATGTGAATTTATGTGGCACAGGGAAACTCAGTTAAGGCAGGAAAAGTTCTAGTTTCCATGTAAGCTGAACAGACCAAAAGAGATTAGGACAGACAGGTTAAGTTTCAGTTTTCCCTCACCAGTTAAGGAACTGGTATGTTACAATACTGAAATTTTACTGCATCTTGGTTAATACAAATTTATAATCAAGACTAACATGAGCAGACAGAAAGAACATCTACTGAAATTAAGACTGCAGTGACTAATTTAGAAAGAATAGAGACCAATATGAAGTCTCAGAAATCTATCTTGATCTTTTCAGGGAAAGATGAGGCAGACTTCAATTTTGAGACTTTATGTTCTCTGGGAGCTAAAAATACATCTTAAAAGTAGTTGTGTTAAGTTTCCCCTTATTTATCCACAGATGTAGTTCACAAATACAGTCACAGCACCCTTTATTATTTAACTATTTTTGGGTTTTGTTTGTTTGTTTCTATCCTTCTGTTTGGAGGCAGTACACCTTCAGTATTGCTACCTGAATATTACCGTTGGCTTGGTCAGACAATGGCATACACTTTAAAGCTATATGGGTTTGGCCTTGTTTTAACTTTGGTCTCCAGCAGCCTCTAGGCATCTTAACAGATCTTTTGATGCTGCCTACAGTTTAACAACAGGTTATTCTTTCTGGAAATGTAGGGGATTGGCTCAGTTCTAACAGATCAGGATTCAAGAATCTAGTGAACATTTTCCCAGGGCCCTCCCTTATTCTTATAAAGAATGTAGTCTTAATATTAGTCCATTGTCAAAAATATCACAGAACACTTCCTTGCTATTATTACCACTCCAAATACACTTGTAGAAAAGCTGCTTTTTAACAGAAGAATGTTTTCACTCTGAGCATATTTGCTACTACAGGTTGCTTATCAAGAAAAACAGCACCAGCATACCACTTAGGCCTTTTGGTGCCATATTTATGCTTTATTTTTTTTAAAAAAAAAGCTACACAATGCTAAGGAAAAAAAAAATCAAGTTTACTTTACAAAAAACCTGCAGCTGTTTTCAAGAGATCTGATCTCACTTATAAATGAAAGTCAGCAGGTAAGAAAGTAAATGTTAATTTAACATTTCATTTGCAGTACATCATCTGAACTTAATCATCCAAAACAGTCACTGAAACTGACTGTTGATTATATCTACACAATCATCTATATCATGTGATTTAAAAAAAAAATACCTGGGAAAATTTAGAGAAATGGAAAAATGTCAGAAGAATGTTATCTAGCCCAACTATAAGCACCTACAGAAACTGAAAGATCTTTCTGGCTTTACTCTCCTTTAAGTTAATTGCAATTCTTGTGTATTTAAGAGAAGTCTTAAGTGTAAAGCTGCTAAATTCTGCTCAGTGAGGGTATTAAAACTGATGCAACACGAATCTACATAGTTACTGTCAAGTTACACTCGTGCTATGTCTTACTATCTTCATAGAAGTGTACTGTGCAAGTCTCAAGTAATTCAAAACGCTCCTGAAAAAGCCCTTGTGTCACTCCTGTGAGGTAGGTACTGTCCTTCCTTTGGAGGGGGGGAAAAAAAAAAAAAAAAAAAAAGGGAACAGACTCAACTGCTGCTCAGTACATCAGGCACACTGACAAACAGATCAACCAGCCTACATTACTATTTGATTTTTCTTCTGCTTCCCTGAATGCAGAGCTTTCAATGGCAACATTCTGTTCAGTACTGTGCATTCCAGAAATAAACAGTGAATTATGCTTTTGATTACAACCATTCCAAGGTAAAGATGTTCAGCATAACTGTTTTGAAACAAACAGAAACATTGCTGTCACTAGTCTGCTCCATTCATCTCCACTGCCAACAATTTATTATTTTGTACATGAAGAATAAAGATGATATCTTATCCTTTAGTCTGACAGCCACTCACTCTGATTAAATGATATTGGGGAAAAAAAAAATATGAACTGCTGTCACAAACCAGACAGCATACAGAGGCTCACAGGTGTCAAATGCAGATCAAGTACAGCTAAATTAATGCTTTGCTACCACTGCAGAAATGCCCTCTAAAGCAGTTTTTCTCACCCCAAGTATAGACTCATTAAGCCTTCACAATTTTTTGAACAAGTTAAGGAGCTGTGAGAAAAGAATTATTAGTGGTCCTTTGCACTAAGGCCATAGTTTATTTGCAGTCTAAAACCATTTTAGTATCTCTTACTAAGAAGGAAAAATCCCTAGCCCGTATCTTTCAGAGCCCTTGCTTCTCATAACCTCACGAGTAGTTTTGTGGTAGTGTAGTAAGCATACTGAAAACTAGACTGGTAAGAATTATACAAATGCTTGTGCTGCCACACAGAAAGGGGTGCCACGGACAAACTTGTTCCATCTTAAAATTAATGAAACTATACCCTACTCAGCTGATGGTAGTAATGGTACCAGTAACATACCTCTGACACCAAGCTGTCTAAAAATTGAGTAGAAAATTCAAGTATCAAAATAAAAGTTGTTAAACAAGATAAATCAACAACTACATTCTCCCATTTGAAGAAATCTAAGTGTAGTAGACTGGCCTATTCACTAGAAATAATGTAAGAGATACAAAGTTCAATCATCACTACACACTAGAATGTTATTGCTAAATTTCAGCTACAGCAAACTAACAAGGAATTCAAAACTGTTACTTCATTTATCATGAGCAGTAGGGGACTGCTGGCCACTGTTCATACTTATGCTTCTGGAAATTACTAGGAACCATCCACAGTGAATGCCACACTATGATCAGAAAGTCAGTCTTGTTACAACTGGACTTTCACATTGCTAGTTCCTGTGTAGGTTGCTGAACTGTCTACTCTCTTCTTTGATGCTTGGAACTTAAGCATTTGGATGTTAACCACCATGTACAGAGAAGAAAGCTGAAACCTTCAAATAAGTATTTCTTACTTGTACAGTCCTTCAGCCCTTTGTTTTCTTAAGTCCTGGTCAGTGTGAGATTTCTGAAGGCCTAATTTGTTCCAAAAGTCAATCAGTAAGGGCTAAACTATTTATCTGAACAAATAAAACTAGGATATTACACATTAGTATCCTCTGTTCTGATCCTGTCTTTTTTTCCTAGTGTACCACTGTATCTAGAGCAGATCTCATCATCGCCCCCTCAGAAGAGTACCTTCCTATCTTGGGGAGAATTGGAGTATACATTTTAAGATTACTTATTACCAGAAAATGAAAAAAATAATCTTGATTTCAGGTTAGAGACATAATTCAAGAGGGAACTTGTAAGTTCGGTACATCAGGTGCTGCAATAGCTATAAGGTTTTAGCATACAAAGCATTTAATATATAAAAATCAGTGAATTAATGCAAGCTTGAATATAAACCCATAAACCTACTGCAGAACCAGCCAGATTACATCACTATACACAAAGTTATTCCACACAATTTGAGTGGAGATACCTCTTACAGAAGTAGCTTTCAACTATTTGCCAAGTAATTTGTATGATGATTCCACAATCTTAACTATTAAAAATATTCTGCATGGGCTAGCTGTATTAAAGAGAAGTTGAACAAAGCATCTTTGAGGTTGCTTCTCCCATTCTTATCTTTTCCCTAGCAAAATGAATCAAGAACACTTTCACAGTTCATTCTGGCAAAGTGTAGAGTAAAATAGTGCCAGTACAGGTAGTCTCAGAGTTTAGATGCTTCAAACACACTATGACTTGATGTGCAAGTATTGCTCAGCATTCATTGGCTCAGAAGCTCAGTCCCTGCAGAGCAACTGTAGATCTAGAAGAGCACCTCCACATGTAGGGATCAGGAAGAGGAGAAAAAGAAAACAGAGGTCTCAAGTCAATGTCCCTTCCTGAACTCAACAAGCTTCCAGATAACCTTCAGAGACAGGAAGAGATGCAAACAATCCAAGCCTTGTCCAAGTGCAAAACTGACACTCTGCATTATCTTTTTACTGTCAGTTAAATTCCTGAATGCAGTGGATATGGATCAGTACCTCAGTACCTGGTAATCATGTAAACTGTGCCTGCCACAAAAGAAAATCCCATTTTGATTGCATATACTTCTGCTTTAGTACTGAACTAACATGTAGTTAATAAATATGCATCCATGTTACTAGTAGAAAAGACAAAGTGATTAAAAAAATAACTGACCAATGTACTGACCAGTGAAAAGAAGTTTGACATTTAAAAACTGCAAAGGATGAAATTAAATAGTTTGCCATTTAAAAAGATTATTTGAAGCCAACATTTTTTTTTTCAAATTCAGTTTCAAGTGTGTACAGTAAATGCAAAGTCCTTGCCCCATGTAAAGCTTTAAGAAAAGTCCATATTTTGATACATATGACATTCTAGTTTTTGGGAGAACCAAGAACTTACTGAAAGTTGTTCTGTCTTATTCAGTAATTTCTTGAGTAAACATTGCAGAGCTACCACTATAATCAGAATACCTAAGCTGCTGGCACAACTCAATAACTAACCATTTAACAAGTTGGGTATAAAAAAAAAAATTTATGTAGTAATACCAATTCAGCACACAAATTCCATGCTTCACAAGTTCTGCTGCTGTGTAAGAGTCTTCCTAACATCTATAGAGGTTAAGTTCAGATTTTTAGGTCACTGCATGCCCGGAGCAAAACAGCAGCAAAATATCTACCACTATGAGCAGCTATACCCAATTGTGCCTTTAGAATGCAAACTATGCAGCAATCTAGATAATCAGTGCCTTGCCACTGAAATAGGACCACACACACACTTGACTGTGTGCATGCTGTAGAGAATAAAGTTACTTACTGAAAAATAAAAATGCATACAGATTCTGATACAGACATACAATCAAGATGGATTAAATCACTTAGACATTCAGATTCGGGGGAAGAGAAAAATCCTTCAAAGACAGCATACAGATGACAAGCCAGCATTACAAAGAACTCTAAAGGCACATTTCAGGTAACATAGTTCTGTTAAGACGAACTGCTTACACACGCAGGCACAAATCTTAATGGCTACCTTCCCCTCCCACCCCCCAACAATTAACAAATAAAAAAAAAAAAAAAGAGAAGTGCATTTGCAGTAATATCAACACCACTCAGTTAATCTGTTCAGTCCAAATGTTTAGCAGTATTTTCCTTATGGTGATATGGATTCTCTGCACTACTCCAATCCAAAAAACTCAAACAGGCAGGATTAGTAAAGGTTCAACTGTTGTACTAGTTAACATTTACTCATCAGAGCCCACTGATCTCTTCTGTGCCCTCTTGTAGGGCAACCTCCTCGGTGAAGCTTTATCTAGATTTAAAAAAAAAAGAAAAAAAGACAGTTGCATCAGTTGCTACAGCTACTTCAGATTAGATGTTATATGACCATCTATTTTTCTCCCTCCCAAACACAAGCCAAACTGCACTTCTAGTACAATGCATCAACACAGAGAAGCCAGTTCAAACAGCTCAAGGCTTTTTTACTAATAGCATCCTAAGTAGGAGGCAACAACAAAAAAAAAGAACGTTCCTATTCTATAACATGCAACTCCAGGGTGAGGGTTGTTTGATTTGCCCGTTACTAAAATGCAAAAAACCCCAAACTCCAAAAAAACCAAACCCCACACCATTTCCTGATGAAGCCACACGCTCTGCTGTTTAGAAGACATGCTCAGTAATTACACTTTTCCAAAGTTACTGAATTTTGATCATTACTGGTTTGAATTTACCTGCCTGAAGAATGTGTGACTGACTCTCCTTTAGATAACTTTGTCTTGCATTAAAGTATTTCCACATTCATATAGATTAACAGAAGAAATGTTTTGGTTGTGAAAAAACACACTCTTCCAGTAAGCATCCATGTCTAACTATGAAGATGACACTTTGTAATCAGATATCCCATACAGTCAAGCCACCCAGCTTTAGCTCTGTGATCAGAGGATGCCAGAAGCATCACCCTACTTTTAAAACTTTGACATGCCTATAATTGTCCTTTACAATGATGGTCCTTACACAGGTAGAATTTCAATCTTTGTAATATGGTAGAGAAGCTGCAATACTTTGGATGAAGTGCTGAAGTGATTGCTAAGTGTATCTGACTCAAAAATGCACATTTTCTTAAACAGAACCATCTCCAATAATTTTACTGTTTAGAATATGTGCTAACACAAGGAGCAGCCATCATGCCATTACAAGCCAATCAGTACAGTATGAAGTGTCTTTCAACAATAAAATAGTCAAGAACCTCTGAGGATCCTGAAGGCTATCTATTTCAAAGAATTCTAGTGTAGAGTTTTAATTAAAACTAACCTGGATCTAAAGAAAACCACAATTAAGAACAATTTAAACATCAGTTTTTCCTAAACTTTAGATATTAAGATATGAATACTTATCTAGCTTAAGAAAGGGATGGGGACAGGACCCAAACATTGCCAGGATTTGGATCCATTTAGAGACAGCTTGCTCTTTGGAAAAAAATATAGCATTTAGGGCTTCAATCTTTCTTGATAGATTGAAGCTTTTCAAATTTCTGTGTATAGATTTTATACTTGTGTCTCAGAAGACAAGTGTAAAAGAAAGCTTACATTTTCAGCAGTAAAACACCAGCCCTTATTCCTATGTAATACAAGTACAGTTAAAAAGAGTGAAGAAATCAAAAAAGTGAAGTCATCAACTCCTGGGACAACTTCACTATCACAGCTAAGGCCTCTAGCCCTTCTACACTGAATAAAGCCCAGAACATGCTTATTTCATCAAAACAGGAGTCTTTATCAAGTAGAGGTAGTTCTTGCAAACAGTCTTCAAAGCACTTCTCTTGTCTAGGATGCAAGTTGAGTGAGGGTCTCTCACCTTACCCCAGACAATGCTACTGGTGATAGCTATTCACCTGGGTTAAGGAAGGGCCAGGAAGGTAAACCTGACTATTAAATTATTATACACAAGGCTGAGGTTTTTTTCTCACTGGAACAAGATGTACTCAGCCACTGGCCGGACACTACACCAAGTTAACAGGGAAGACAAGATACACATCTCCATGTTAGATAAAGGGTTCTGGGAACTATTAGAAGAGATAATAATTTCAGTAGAATATTGCTGAAGTACATTACTACAATATAAACAGAAATATATATATATATGTATTTACAATATATGAAAAAAAATGTATATAAAATGTGTATGTACAGTTGCATGCATCTGTTCTGTAATCTTTTACTACTCATGCTACATCACCAGTCATTGCATGCAGGAAGCTGTACTAGCCACGCTCAGTTATAACATGGACAACACATTAAGCACTTTGACTCTTTACATCACTAGAGTGTGTCTCACCTCTTCTACTCTGCACTGAAGCCATGGGAAAGCAAAACAGAAGAAACAGCAAGAGAAGTTAGAAATATCTACAAACACACATATACATGTCTCTGGTTGACAGACAAACTTCCAAAGAACTTGAGATTATAGATATTTTCTATTTAAACTTCCTTTGTGATCCAAGCTTTGGGTAGATTTTATACTGTTGAAAAAGATTCTACAGAGCAAATTGTAGAAGTCACCAACAGTCATTATTGTATCAACCACTGAAGTTTGTTCTATAGAAGACTAGGCTGCTAATGTAACAGTCTAATCAGTAAGCAGTGCTTTTGACAATTTCTCACATGCTGTTGTGAGAAACTGCTATCAGCTACCTAATTGGTTACATCCAATTGATTAAATAAGTTTGTTACAGTCTAGTTTGTGGAAGGCATACTACTTACTTATTTGATTTAAAGTTTCTTGGGGAATCCAGCTCATATCAACATCGTTCTGATTTGATGTTCCCATCTCTACTTTCTGTACTGGTCTTTTCCTCTGAAAAGTCAAGATAGATAAATAGATTTTTCTTTCCACAAAGTCTTGATAGCACAAGTATTAGAAGTAACTAATAATGATGTTTAATTAATTGCAATTATTCTACTAAGACACAAAGTTAAGGCTAGTCAATGTATGAAGCTGTCTTCGTCACTTATCTTAAGCTATCTTTACCATTAACAATTTTATTCACTTAATCTTGGCATTACCACTTCTAATCCCTCAATACTTACTCCACACAAAGATAAAGATTTCATGCATGCCTGGGCAAGTTCATTATACTTGTTAAAAAAAAAAAGGCTGATTAATCAAACTTTGTGATGAGCAGTTTTGTTACACTTTCTCAGATTAGCACAACATTCCTGTATGTCACCTTGCAAAAGAGATTTCAAAGCATGATAATCATTCCATACTTTTTCCTAAAAGGAAGCTACCTCAAAAGTATCATAAGCCAGACTACATGAAGACATAACCTATGCATTGCATATGGATGAGGCTTAAGTTTTTTATTTCAACAGCTTTTACTTGCCAGATCACTTACATGGACAAACCCTTAGCTGTATAACTTTATAAATGGAATGCAGAAGACCCCGATCAGCATTACGGCAAAGCACTGATAAGAACTAAAGAATTAGACAACTGTTTTCCCAAAAGTTTGACATAGATTAACTAATAGATAAGAAATAGAGAGCATTGGGAACGTTTACCCAGTAAGTATTGAATCAGTAGCTGCACACATCCAGTGACTGGAAGGTATTGAAGACTCCAATTCAACCACTTCAGTGTGGTGCAAAAGAGCAGACCCAAAGAGCATTAAGTAAGCAATCTAAATGTCTCCAATTATGAGCATTTTTTGAAAACACTCTAGTTTTCCCAGTAATCTCCAAGGTCTTGGTTCTGAAAGTAAATTTTCTGAAGTTCTACCTCTACCATCATACTCCAGAAGCAATTACTGAATTGTTTTCTTTTCATATTGGTATGGTCTTGTATTAGCAAATATACAGACAAAATACACTACCCACCTTCCTAGATTCTAGTAACTGATGTAGGCCAACAATGACAAGTAGACCCAGTCCAGCAAGGAACATGTACATGAAGATCCTTTAAAAAAAAGTTTAAGAAATGATTAACTAAAAATCTCAAGTGTTTAAGAGAGGTTTACAGAGGCATAGAAACTAAGACTAGCTTTGGCTACATGCCCACTTGTTCTTTCCCAAGTACTTTTATAGGGTGTGGGTGGGGGAGAAAGTAATGAATGTTTATGTTTGTGACAGCCTTAACCACTTACAAAACCCTTAAAAATCTCTTAATACACTTTTAATACACTACTGCAAAGCAAGTGCTGCTAGCATACCAATCTACTGGTAGAGCTTTCAAAGACCTTGCTTATCTTGCTCTGTCTTCCACAGTCAGAATTCTGCCTGTGCAGACAATTTTTTGAATCTGCATTTTGGCTTGTTTTGAAGAATTCTACCTGAAATACCTATTGATACTTAGCAAGAGGTGAACATAACTGAAATTAATTTGGGAAGCAGGCAGGAATTTACAGGTACAGAATCTATTCCAAGTTGAACATCTTAACTTGACAAAGGAAATTATGGAGTTAAACTACAGAAGAGACTTAATTGAATATCCCTCTTTTAGGGTAATTATCTACTCACAGGTCATTAACTCAAACTGGTTCTAATAATCAGAATTCTTCTGAGATCTCCTTTATCAGTGTATCATACATTTTCACATGACCAATTGTTCTTTCTTTGACACTATTGTATTTGAGAAATATGAATTCATGCAACAGTGATATCTTTTGGTTGGCTTTTTTTAAAAGGAAGCTTGCTCAGAAGGCAATTTCTAACCTGTGTCAGGAGAATTCAAATATTCAGCACTGTCTACAAATATTTATGAAGATTATTTTTCTTAACTCACAGGTTCTCTTAAAATTCCACTCCAGTGTTAGAATATATAAAGCATATCAGCACAGCACATGCTTGCAACATATAAGGTGTATCACATGTACTTAAGCCTAAGACAGGGAAAAAAACCACTCCTGAAAGATACCTGCTACAGACAGGGGTTAGTACAATACTGAATGAGTGAGAGTTCCTCTCATATCCTGAATACATCTTTCAGATTATGTAATCTTGGATTATACTGGAATGCTCCAGAAGTTATACCAGTCTTCACAGTAGGCCAATACTATGGACCCTCTGCATCTTCAATTCTTAGGTAAAAAACACAGAGCATAACAGAAGCTTAACGGCTTTTAACTGCTATGTAGCTGTATATCAGGTCCTATTCCAGGTTTAAACCCTCTGAGCCAAAGCAGATGTGTAAACTGCTCGTTGACACAGTACTAATCTTGAAGACCCCTAGTATTAATACAGATCTTAATTTGGGGAAAAAGTTCATATTTGCAGTCTATCAACATTGTACAAGTCAAACACCTGCTATGCCATCAACAAAACAGAGCCAACCTAACATTCAATGAGGATACAAGAACTGTTCTCATTGGCACCACCAATAACCTATTCTATCAGTATACCAACTGCAATTGAATCTCCAGTCTCCTTACGTTTCTCCATCCAGCCCATCTTCTTTTTCAATAATTGTAACAGTTTGATTGAAGACAGCATCTTGAAACACATTGCCCTATAATGAAGTTTCCACATAACATTTTAAATTAATTTCTTGAACGCATACATAAGTGTTTATCTTTTTCCATGTTCTTGGAAAAATTCTACAAAGCAGTAACTCCTGCATGAGACTTGATTAAGTTTATAAGCAGTGCAAGTTTGACTCAACACATAAAAGCACTTTTGGTGCAAGTACAAAGAACAGTCTTGGTAGTAGCAAGAAATTACTAGAATGAGCTATTACATATGAAGGGTTCTTATTAGAACAATCAAAACAGAAAGGTACAGAAGCCTGTTAAACTTTGACCTACACTAAAGGAGAAAAGAATCCCCTATTTTAAACCCCATTTATTCTTTTGGATAGTCTTCCCCCAGATTGCAACTACTGGCCATTTACTTGCTCCAAGTCAAATTTGCAGAGAGGATTCATGCCGATAGGTAAATCTGCTAGCAAAGCCCAGTCAAAGCTATTTTAAAGAAAGCTTTAGTTTTTGGTTTGTGTTTTGTTTTTTTTTTTTTTTTATTAACGTGAGTACAGCCCACTAGTACACAGTTCTAAGGCATTCTACCACTGCTGTTGTGACTAAGTCTAATGTATAGAGATAGGTGCACATGGGGGGGCTATTGTGAAACATGTAGACAGACATACTGTGCTTATGGATCTACTGCTTTGCTTAAAAACCAGAGGCATTCAACTTTCTGAAGAGGTAGTAACCTGACTGAGAAGTTCATTCCTGACATTTCCACATCAACTAGAAAGATTAAAGTGAATTACAACATTAGGCTTACATTTACATCTCTGTAGTTGAGATTGATAACTAGTCCAAAAGGGCGACCACCCATAGGCTCAGCAGGGATGAAAGAGTACTCAAACGTGGCTTGTCTCTGTGGTGGAACCACTGTATTTAGAGGGAGAGCTGTGAAGTTCTGGATATAAAACTGATAGTCTTGAGGATACCGGAAAGAAGCATCAAGAGACTCAACAATGAAATCCTCTGCACCCTTATTGGTGAAGCCCACCAGAAATTTTACAATGTTGTTTGCTGGAAAGTCTAAAACACAAGAAAATATTCAACCATTAGAAACTTCATACACCACACCTAGACCATTTCTAAACAGAGTGTCTAGAACAGATTCTGGTTTTATAGCTTCACTGTTTTATGCACACACTGATATAGTGTAAGCAACAGTAAAATTGGTAGAAAAGCACAAGACTCTTACCTTCACCTTTCACAAATAAGATGGTTGTATCAGCACTAGGTGAGGCTTTAGGTTCTCCTGACAAGTCTTCTTCCTCTTTTTCTTCTGTCTAAGACAAGAGACTTTTTTGAAAAATCCTATAATGAACAGTGAAGCAAAGACCATGCTTGTTTCATGAGAATCCCATGTGTCAAATCATGCAACAATGGTAAGAATTAGTATCCATTCCTGCGGTTGCAGGATTAGTATATAGTCTGTTCTCCCTCTAGATTTGATTAGCATAATTTTCAGCATTTATCTTTCTACTTGTATTTGACACAGTGACTAATCTGAACTGCATTTAGCAGTACTGAAATGTTTATAATTGGAAAGCAACAGTAAGGTCTCTGTTTGGGGGTGGAAGGAAAATAGAATCCAAATCTTAAGTGTTCACAACTAAGCTATTTCTATTTAGAAAACAAGCATTTCCAAAATTATAGGCAACCATAAGGCAAATAAGAGTTACTTTCACTACAGAGGGAGTGTTTATAGAAGTTTTCTGTAAGTTTTAATTCATTAACTGTTATATATGCCTGGAAATAGTTAGACTGTTGGAACTAAGTAAGTTCATGGATTCACTTGTTCAAGCTCACCTTTGTGATGATCCACTTAATCTGGCAATTGCAAGCATTAAGGGCTTATTTTCCACATGGGGATCATGGGATCACGGGATCACCACCTCCCCCACCAAATAAAAACAAGGCTGAACCCATTCTGAACTGTCTGAACTAATTGCTTGTGAGTTAGATTATTTTATTTCACTGCTTAAACAACCTGCTTAAACAACACTGCTTAAACTTGAAGCAGCGGATAGCCTACACGTACCGTGATCTAGGGAAGCCATGAACCAGAGATGAGCACCTAGCATCTTGATTTCAAGATGCTATGCAAAACTGCATCTTCTATTTCAGTGGCAAATAAACTGCCTGAAAAGTGTAATGTTTTGTATCTGAGTCACAGACTATTTATTAAAAGCAAATTACATCCAAAAGGTTATTTAATACTCTGTCAATACCAAATACCTAGCATACCTTCTACCACTTAGCAAAGCTGGTCAACCATAAGCTCACCAATTTATGAACATCAGTAAAAATCTAACAGAATTAAATAACAGTTTAGCAGGTCTCCATTTTTATTATTTAGGTCTTCTAATAATGTCAAAAACTTTCTTATTTTGCACCAGAACTTTGAGAAATTTTGGTACCAATTTAAGTACACAAAGTGTTGAGCAAGCTCAATACTGTACTGCTACAAGCTGATCACATAATTCCTGTCATGATTTAAATCTGGCTGGCAACCAAACACCACACAGCCACTCGTTCACACTCCCACACTCCAGGGAATGGGGGAGAGAACTGGAGGGGTAAATGTAAGGAGACTCATAGATTGAGATGAAAACAATAATTGAAATAATTGTAATAATAGTAAAAATATACAATACACAATGTGAGTGCTTGCCACTCATCAACCAACATCCAGCCCATTCCCAGCTAGCCATGCAAGAGAAGGGAAAATCCGAAAACCCCAATCCCAGAAGAGAGAGCAAGTCAGCTTCCTGGCCAACCTTCATCTATATACTGAGCATAATGCTATATGATATGGAATATTCCACTGGCCAATTTGGATCCATTGCTCTGGCTGTGATCCCTCCCAGCTTCTTGTGTACCTGCACATTAGCAGGATATGGGAAGCTGAAAAGTCCTTGATTTTGTAGTAATAACTAAAACCATCAGTGTATTATCATGTGTATATTATCAGTGTATTTCTCTCATACCAAATCCAAAACACAGCACTATTCTAGATGCTATGAAGGAAAATTACTTTATCGCAGCTGAAACCAGGAAAACTACATAAGGCATTTCACTTTGTCAGGATGAAGCAAGTGACCCTGAACAGCAGTATGGCTACTGGTATAACAGCCATACCCTGCAACAAGTATCAGAGACTATGAATGTGCTAAGTGAAAACAGGCTGCAAAACAAAGTTTTTCAGAATTAATACTGAGCTTAATTAGGATTCTGTTGCCCCTTGAAAACAGAGCCCAAAGAAGCCAGAATGAAGTAGTCCTATACCCCAGTGTTCTTCTCAGTTTACCGAGATACAGCTTAAAGTGGGAAGAACTACAAGGGGCTTCTATGATAATCTGGTTCCCTCATTTGGTGTTTTTCTTGTGAACAGAAATCAGGTTGTCCCCATGTGTTTTTTCAACTGGCAATTCAGGAAGAGACATCCTTCTGAAACATCAAACTGAACACAAGTTTAATTGGAGACTTTAAAACAGCTATTTGGAAACAGTGATGCTATTAAACTTGTATTTACATATATCTAAAATACCTAGCTTCAGGCACCTTCGGTCTATTTTGTACTTATGAAGTAGACATTCATGTACAATTACCAAGTCTGTTGGCTCATCTTCTTCAACTTCAGCTTCATCATCTTCATCTTCAACTACAGTATCTTCCACAGCTTCTTCATCTTCTGTAGCATCTTGAGCTGCAACTAATAAACCCGAACCTACCAAAACAAAATGCAAATACAAGAAAAGTCTTTTCAGTGTCTAGTTAGTCAACAGAAAACTGACATTGTAGTACAATTTTCAAAATGATGTTTGAAGAATTTTAGCTTTCTGAACTATTCATTTATGTATCAGTGAGTTCAAAACCAGAAAGTTTACAGCTGGATATCAAGAATTTCATCATTCACACAGCAATACTTAAATTTGCAGATGCAAACAACTTGCCTTAAAAGCCATTGTTTGGTTTTTTAAACATCACCATATTATATTACTTTAATTTTGTTTTGTTATTACAAATGTGAAAATAAAAAGACATCACTATTGCCAGGAAATTAACTTGCTGAGTACTATTTCTTCTAAGACTAATAAATTTAAGAAATTATTAACATGTCCTTTTCATTTGCTGGTACCAGAACACTACGCTTTCACAGGTAGTTAAAAAAGTTGTTTTTGCACTTATTTTAATTCAAGCTTTAAAACATAAAAAAGTCTTTTTGAATATGACCTCCTCAATATTATATATACAGCTATATCTGTATGTTCAACAGAACCACAACACTGTTCAGAAAAGAAACATGATTAGAGCATGGCCCCAGAGCAAGGCTCCAAGACAAGTGCAGCCAGACAGTTCACTGCCTCCTTGATTTTATGGACCAGAGTCTCCTACATTCAAACACTGGGCAATACAAATAGTAGCCACAGGACAAAGTTTCATCTATTTGCCGTTTAGAGCCCATGTAAGCTAGGCTGAGAATTTTATACACAAAACTACAGATATTTTTAAAAAACCTTGTCCAAAAATGAAAGAGTAGAAATGGATGACTGATTTACACAAGCCTGAAAAATAACTGTCACAAGTACACACTGAAAGTAAATAATTAAAAACTTTCACGAGGAATAAGAATCCTTGAGCAGGACAAGTATATCCAAGGATCTCGAGATTGTCAGTCATAGCTAGAAAATGCAAATGCAAACCCTGCCAAGTCACTTGAGAAGGTACGCTCAAAGACTTGCTCAACCACGTGCAACCCAACCCAACAACAGTGGGTTTATTTTCTGAAATTTTAAACTCATCATGCTGAAGATTTTATTTTAATTAAAAACTTTGTATCTGAACAGGTTATGAATACAAGCATTCTTTGCAAGCAACTGTGCTAGCACGTTCTCTTAGACCTCTAATTTACAGGGTTTTTTTCAGTGGATGTCAGAAGGGCTGATGATGTGGCAATAGCGGGAGAGGAGAGCTGCCCACCGCGGGAAGCAGCGGACACACAGCATGAGCTGCTGCCCGCGGGGAGAACCGAGTGAGATGGCTGCCCTCCTGCCTTTCCACACCTAGTAGCAGGGAGGCAGTTTTCATGTGGTCAATCAGATAACGCTGCAGAGTAAACTGAGATTAGTGGCTCGGCGATGTGAAGGACACTTGGGGGGTGGCGGGAGGCACGGTGTGAAGACAGTCTGGCAACCAGCGCACCTGCTAACGATTCACTATAGCAGCCAGCACCGCCTGAGCGCGGCAGCACGCAGAGACAAACCCGTTGCTACAGCCTCCAGTGGGTTTCGAGCGGGACAACCGCGCCCACGTGGCTCTCCAAGGCCGATCGCACGGCGGGGCCCGAGAGCGGTGCCTGGGCGGCAGCAGCGCCGAGCGCCGCTCGCTCTGCG